ATGGTCATTTATTCTAGTTTGATAATATGAAGAATGTGTGCAAAAGTGTGTTGACCAGCGCATAATTGGCCAGCTGAGTTGGGAGTGGGCAGGTTTGACTTGGGTATCAGTGCAACTACGGCCATTGGTGCAAGTCTGGGATGCTAAAGCTCCAATATTTCGTACTTATGTTCATCAACTAATAAATGTCGTTCAGTTTTAGTTAAAACTGTACTCTAAACCTCTCTTTGGTCTACTATTTGACCGTTTATTACTTCTTTATGTAGTAAACGTATTTTCTTTAGAAATCGTCTTCTATACGTTTCTGCTCTCTGTCTCTTTACTAAAAAAAATTATCTTGATCCTTTTTTATGATGGAAACTTCTATAAAAAAGGGTATTTTTTCAAATCCTAAGACGTTATCTATACTTTAAGGTGCTACCTAGAATCTACAGGCTTCTCATTTAAACTCCTAAGGAAAGTGTTGCACAGAGCCAGCTTAGTTCACATAGCTGAATGCACAAAGAAAGCTTACTTGACACGCCTCTGCACAGATGAATGCACTAGAGTTGCATCGCTTGAGAGTCAAATCTGGTCGCCTGCTTGTATAATAGATAGTAAAATATAGAAGAAAATTTGTATTTTTATTCAAAAATGAACCTTGTTATTATTTAATATAAGAAAACGTCCGTTTTAGCTAAATTTTGTTTTTATGTTTAAGTAGTTTATTAATTAGATCTTTTCGTATCATTCTGTCAAAAGTTCTTTCCTTTTTTCTTAATTACAATGGATACTCTTCCAAAGCTTGATTTTACTAGTAAATAGTTCTTTACATAAGTTTATTACTTTTTACCGCCTGTTACTCACCCTTGCATACCACTTTACCAGCGTTACTGGATGTTCCAGATCGTTATACGTAGGTACTAGATCGCATTTCAGCTGTTGTAAGCTTCGGGTAAGAATGTTTGCTTGCTTGATATCGTTTTCATTTTGCGATCTACAGCTATGTCCCCTATCATCGCTGGATTTTCAGGGTCGTATGCATTTGGATCGTATGGCACCCTTTCCAACGCTGGTGGATACATTACCTTTATGTGTGACATTGTGAGTGAAATAAAATTGTTGATTATTTTTGGCCGTAAAGACTATTTTTTGTAATCGTTCAATTTGACTGAGACCTTTTCTTCTTTGAGCCAAAATGACATAAGTAAATCTGAGTTCCTTTCCGATAGGGCCCAATATTCTGCTTGCCTTATGTATGCTTAATGTAACCTTCTACTTCCTTTGTTAATATTCCAGCTCTGCTAATTTTTGATAAACGTCGAAAGCCGTTTTTCACCTGCCTCAGGGGGTGCTAATTGCATCCACCTTTTAGCAGCTTGGATTATTGGGTTATTGGATTCAAGATTCAACTTTATAAAAGAAAAGAAAGAAAATATTTTAAATTTACACAATAAAATCAAACAAAATTCTTTTTTCCTAACGTAGGATTTTCTAATGGAAAGGAAAAACGTAGGTTAATTAATATTATTTCATCCACCATTTTTTAAAAGAACATTTTCACTTACCCTGATGCACTAAGTACTCTACGTCATCGCTAATCTGATTCCAACACTATCTATCCGTCCATAGCCTCCAAAAACTTTTCATGTTAAGTTGAAGGTAGCGTAACAGTACATTTTGTATTTAGCTCTAAGCTTTCGCTCAATAACCTAGGAAGAGTGAGATACGCATGACTGAAGCGAGAACAGGATTGATGATTATAGAAGGTAAGCTACTTGGCCATCCTCATTTGCACGGACGGCCTGCTACTACCCATTTATTTAGAATTGTAGGTTGTTTTTAAAATAAGCTAGTCGTCTGGCCCCAGCATGTTCTCTAGCAACAAGCAATAAGGCATAAGGTTTAAGCTATTTGTTTGGCTGTTGGCATAAACACTAATAGACTTTTTTATACAAACTCCACTCGCAGAAAAACTTTTCTCTACGTTCTCCAATTTATCATTTACTTTATAAATCAGAGGTGGGGGGGGGGGGTTAAAGCTCAGCCTCCTAAATCCCGCACAAACTTTTTTGCGAAATATGTACTGATTTACGGTGCTTTTATTACTTATATCTCTAAATTATGGAAAAATTTGTCTTTATTCATTTTTTACAACATATAGTTTGTACATACGTATATTGTACATGATTTATAAGAAATATACTTAGAATACTAATAAAGCTATCAAGGTTATAACTAGAAATTTGTTTTATCGATTTTTTCGTACCGTCCAGAAGGCAAATAGATGGACTTGATACGTACTAATATAATAGAAAAAATAAATAATTAGTAAATCTACGATGATTAATACAATCATCCTCTTCATCTTGCTCCAATATAAAATTCATAAGGTACAAGTAAATATAAAAACTTGGTAAAAGAGAGCACATTTTTATTAATCGTCAAATATTTTGTTTAATAAAAATGTGCTTCCTTTTACCAAGTTTTTATATTTACTTGTACCTTATGAAAAAATAAATAGTCATTACAAGTAGTTTGTTAGTTTTTTATTATTTTTTATAACTAAAAATTTTTGTTGTCTTTAATTAAACTTCTTATTTTGTCAATACCTAGTAGGTTCTTGATGCGTTAATCTATATTTTTGTTCATATAAGAAGAAATCAAGAAAAAAAAATACTTTTTGTGTGCCACTTAATATGGCTATTTGTGGCCAAACAGAAGAATAAAAATTTGATAAATTATCAAAACATTAACAGCTAAGTTGTGTATTGCTATTGCAAGTTCTGGCGGCCTATCAACTAGCTTTAATATAAAATCAAACTTCAACGCTACGTTGTGTGTTGGTTGGTGCAAATGCCGATGGTTAAGCAACTAGCTTAAAAACCTATGGCTAGATTGTGTACCATTTGTGTAAATGCTGATGGCTAAACAGTTAGCTGTAATCAAAAATAAAATCAAATTAATAATCTTAAAACCCACGGCCAATCGTGCGCAATTGGTGCAAATGCCGATGGTCAGGCAATTAGCTTCAATGTATAATCATACTCCAACACTACATTGTGATCCAGTGGTGAAAATGCCGACGGTCAAACAACTAGCTAAAAATGTATGAGTGATTAAGTGCTATTGGTAAAATGCCAATGGCCAAGCAACTATCTTAAATATTCATGGCTGATTGCGTCTATTAGTGTTTATGCCAACAGCCAAACAAACAGCTTAAACCTTATGCCTTATTGCTTGTTGCTAGAGAACATGCTGGGGCCAGACGACTAGCTTATTTTAAAAACAACCTACAATTCTAAATAAATGGGTAGTAGCAGGCCGTCCGTGTAAATGCGGATGGCCAAGTAGCTTACCTTCTATAATCATCAATCCTGTTCTCGCTTCAGTCATGCGTATTTCACTCTTCCTAGGTTATTGAGCGAAAGCTTAGAGCTAAATACAAAATTTACTGTTACGCTACCTTCAACTTAACATGAAAAATTTTTGGAGGCTATGGAGGCAAAAAGTGTGATGAACGCAGTTTCTCTGGTTTGTCTACGAATCTAATTTTGTATTTAAAAAAAACTAATGATTATCTTCCAAGATAAAAAATTTGTATTACACAAGTTAATTTGAGAAAAGTATTATTTCTCAAAAATTTGCTACAAAATGCTAATATTGTGTGTAAATAATCTAGAATAAATTTGCAGAGTTATACAGATGAACGCAAACCCACAAAAAATGCAACTGAGTAACGTTGCTGCATTTTAAAATCTCATTTAAAATTTTAATACAAAGCAAATACTACATTCATGTTAATTTTTTCAGGCGTAGGTTAATAAGTAACATGTAAGACTTTTTTTTTAGGTACAATCAAATTAAAAGTTGATATTATTTAGTAAACATGGTCAAATTTAATTCATGAATCAAATTTTTGACATGGAAGGCCACCGTTAGTGTAGCTTTTCTCTAGTGCTGGCTCCTTTGTCATTTTGTCATCATACAGTGACTCGGCTAGGTGGTGCGAGTGCATTACTGTAACATCCACTATACTATCAAGAAAACTTACATCCTGCTGTGGGTAGTTAAGGTATAAATGTGGGATATCTGAAAATGACAGTTCTATGTATTATAATATATAGAACTGTCATTTTCATTTATATTATAAGTTTGTATATTAGGTCAAAGCAATTTTCTAGTAAAAAATAATCGTAGCTTTTTGGCATCACAAAGATTTTATTTATATAAGAAATTAATAAAAATTTAATAAAAATGCCCGCTATACGTAAATGTATTTAACTTGTCGATTAATGGAAAATAAAAAAAGGTACTTTATTCAAGAAGTGGCAGAAATATGTATTACATTTAATGGAAAGGCGTTCTCTAGGTATTGATTAAAATAATCTGTTTAAACCTTTGTTTAATTATAATATGACTATTAAAATTAAAAGTTTATTGCAAAATTGGAATCGGCAAAAAGTCGTGTAGAACACCTTTAAAAATAATGATTCTTGATGTATGATTGGAATACCAGTGGTCTCTAATTTAGGGATTAGAATTTTATTGATAAAATTAAGTATAAAAAATTTAGATTTGTAATTCACGTTAAAATAGTTACAATATTTTGTGTCTTTCATCCTGTGGAAAAATATCCTCAACACTGACTACTGTAAACTTAACATTCACTCGAATTTTTTTTTGCTCTGTCAAACTTTTTTCCATTGTCCTACTTGTCCTTCGTATTATCCGTTATTGCAAATCTGAGTGGAATGTAAAAAGACTGTTAATTTATTGACAAATAAGTGGCTGGAAGTGAAAAAAAACTACAATTGATATAAAATAACAGACGAATCAGTTGTAAAAATAGATAAATGAAAACTAATGCAACAGTAAACTAGAATGTATTCAAAATAGTCCTGGTATTTAGAGATGACCACAAATAATAATAAAAATAGGACAACACATCTAATTGCGAAATGAAAACTTATAATTGTATAGTAATTATCAGTTTTTAAATAATTAATTATTATTTTCAGATACCCTTAATTAGGAATAATATGCTGTACTTCAATGTTTTGATTGATAGAACGTTAGAACTGTACAGAAGTGTAGTTGGCTACCAGTTTGATCGTCTGTATATTTTGAAGAAAAAATTTAGTTATGAGTTAAAACAATCATCAATGAAACCTCAACCAGCTCCACGTAATTCTGTGACAAAATACTCTACTATAGAATACATCTGAAAACTTCTGGTTTTGTATTATATTTTTTACAGCCTGATAAAACTATTGGAACAATTCTATTACTTAAAAAAAGCTTATAATGTAGCACTCATCACCTTAGAACGAGTATTCTACTGACAAAATAAGTTTGCCAGTAACCTGCAATAACTGTAATTAATAATGTGATATTGTATTTTATTGACACACTACCACTAATGACTGCTAATTTTGTCATAAAAATATTGTTTTCATGAAATGTAGTACTTTTAGAATTTATTGATACCTAACTCAATTTCTCTTTTCATGATTTTTTTTTCTATATGTTGTTTCTTTTTATCTCCAAGAAACTATTGCGGTGGATTTTAAAATAACTAATCTAAGCCGTTACGCAATGCCTGAAAGTTGTGAAACATTTAAAAACTTAACTTAAAAATAATAATTAAAAATTAATGAGGAATGAAATGACAGTAGATAAACTAGGCCGATACGAGCATACGCCAAATCCAGCACACGTCCCCTTCTCTGCCCACGTGCTCGAGCGTGCGCGGACAGCCACGACCCTACACGAAGCGCTAGGGGCTGTGCACAGCTTCCTTCTCTCTGGTTAGCCTGTAGGAGAGAGTGTTGTTTTGTATGTATGGATAAGAGTCCCAACCACACGCTCATATCTGTGAGGTATGACAAATAAGTGTTACCTTTCCAAGGTAATACTTGTACACATCTACATGTTCATCTACATACATAGATAAATACTTACGTACGATGCGTGTATGTATATACTTTTATGATGATTTTTAATTTAAAATGTATAATGTATGATGATAGTGGGTAGGACAAGGAGTGTATTTTTATTTTTTAGAAAAATAATAGTAAATCTTAAAACATTTATTCTTATTTTTTAGAAAATTTATTTTGAATTACAATTTACAAAGTACGAATTACATTGTTCTTAAATGTTCATGTGTACAGCTCTTTATTATCATCACTTTCATCTTCCCATTTTGTACATAAGTAGAACTTTTTCATGCGTTTGACATTGTAAAGAGCACACATGATTTTGTAAGCTCCATGATGATGAGGGCAACTGGTAACCTGTTTTGGGAGCTCAAATAAAGGATAATCTGTCATATCAGTGACTTCAAATCCAAATCTTTCAAGCCACTTTTATTTTAGTTCTGCATTCACAAAAATTTTGGTGGCATCTTTAAGATTTTCTCGTAGAATATTCCCAATCTCAGTATACTTTATATTGCCTGAATTTCAGGCTAGTCCATTAGAGTTACGTTTAAGATATAAATTTTGATCTTTATATTTCTCTGATAATTTACGCCAAGCAAAGGGTGCTTTGAAAAGATACATTTGTACTTCAGCATCGTTCGGATGGAGTGGTAGAATAGCTAATTCTTTAAGCACATAATCATTGCCAAGCTTTGTAAGGCCTTGCATGTCTACGATGTATTCCATTTTATCCTTTTTTCTGTATAAAAACCTTAAATTATTGTTTGAATCGTTCATAACTTTCACGTTTAGGAAATGATGATTTATTAGTTGAGAACTTTTCTGTTGAATTTTTCAGTCAAGATTTTTTATTCCTGTCATCATTATCATCCTTGGTTGGAAGTTTTTGATATTTAACATCAGTAGTGAATTTGCTAATGGTTGGCTTATGAGACATGTTGATCAATAAATATCTTTTTTAGCAAGTTAATTTTTTTATTTTAAAGGATTTTACAACATTTAAGATCTTTTGATTTTTTCCTAGCTTCTTTTTCTTTCCATTCCTCAGCGTGTCTCTTCTCAAATTTTTTTCACTTTTCTTGCCTTCACCTATTCTCTTGTTTTTCTGTAGTCCAACTGCTCTGATCTTTTTTCATGGTGGTTAACAGATGAATGAAGTTTGTAGTGTAATGCATCGGTTTTTATAGCCTCACATAAGTTTTTTGACATCCCCACTCATGGGACTTGTACTGAACGATACGATCATGTAAAATTAAGCAGTAAGCTGATGTATTATTAGGAAAATTGTCGTGAGATTCGAATTCTAATCACACATCTACGGGAGCATTCTTTAACGACTCATTTTGTTTAGAACAGTCAAGGACAATCAAAGGTACAGCATGTTGAAATTGATATTTGCTTCACAAAGGTGCACGATCTTTACCATAATATGAATTCTGAAATTTTGCATGCATGTCATATAGCAATGCAAAATGACTGTTTGTTATATTGATATTGAGATCCCCATAAGGATAATATTGTGAATTTAAATACAGTTTTACATTTCTTACATTACAATGATCAAACTGGCTAGCATTATTACCTCTCTGATTTTTACGATTTGTCTGAAAGGCTAGTATAACATAGCGCGGCTTTTCCAACTGATTCGACGTCTTGACCGTCCATATATGTTTCCATGTAATAGGTAAAAGTGGATATTCATAAATTTTCCAAGTTTGATAGCTCATAGATACAAATTTATCTTTTTGCAAATAATTAAGTAGACGAATTTTATGTGCATCTGACATTACAACGTAAGGCATGAGCCATTCTAGTTTCAATATTAATATCTTGAAGTCTTCTCAAATTACCACTCCATTAGGTTCTGCAGCAGGAATTGTACTTCGTAAAACTGCATTCAAGTCATTTCTAGATCTTGTGAGTACAAGTTCATGCTTTACATTAACAACTATTTTACGATAGTCTTCAGCAAAACCAAAAATCATACTGAGAGGAATCAAAAGATCAAAGTAGCCATTGTTATTTGTTAGATTAAGTTTATTTGAAGTACCAAGCCAACCAGTATTTTCAGTTAATACGTCTTGATCAGGAATGAACGTTAGCCAGTTTTTAATGAGAGTTGTCGAACCTACATTTTCACACTTATCTATCTCTCTAGCGTTAATCTCATACCTTATTTCTTCAAATAGATGAAGGAAAGCATTGTTTACTAATTTAGTATTTACAGCTGTCGTAGTACCATCTGCTTTGACTACCCGTCCATGAATATGTAAAGAACTGCGGGATGGTAGCAGGCATAGGTCTTGATGTTGAATTGATGTACGAATTTCATCACTATTATTATATGTTGATGATGCATATGGTTGATGAGTATGAATTTCATAGTGTGCGATAGACTCATCAAACGCAACGGAGGACTGAATGCTTAAAATGTCATCCATCTTTAAGGTAAAAATTTGAACGTTAGTTCACACCTTTTATTTTTAAGCCAAGATTTTTAAGAAACTGTATGTTTTGATTTGTCAATTTTTTATGCTTCCGTTGTCTTTTCTGGCGTCTCGACGATTTAAAAGATTGCCGTTGACTGAGCGCAGAAATAGATATCAAGCTGTTTATATACTTTTTGTGATTATAAATGATACCCATTACGATGAAGGTTTAATGTATAATCTTATCGTGATGACTTCTCCACGAAAATTGATTAAATTACCATCTTAATCAACTACGCGTAGTTGTAAGTGATCTATGACTCGTCCAATGACAGGTAAGTAGATTATTTGCAATGGAACTTCAATAATTTTATATCCTGGTGGTACCGCAGCAAAAATTCATGAATTGCATGAACTTTTTTCCGTTTATATAAGCTCCACTAGTGATGCAGCACTCAACTCGCAATGCGTTAATCTTGAGAATGGATACAGGTAAGTCAGAGTCATGAGTTAAGTTATCTTGTAGTAATCGTTCAGTAAAACCTAGTAGTCACCCTATAGAATCTTTTGGTCTGAAGTCAATAGTATGACAACACCTAACAACACTACGAAGCGTATTATTATTTGGCTTGATACTGATACTTATATCTTTCGGTTGTAACACATTGACTAAAAATGACTGAATATCTTTAATTTTATAACTGCCGAATGGAATAACTACTACTTAATCACCCACGTAAAATTTATTGTTATTTACGTTAATATTAGGAATTAAATTGAACGTTAGGAGTTCTACTAAACCAAGAACATATTTGTGTTTTAGTGATAATTCAATAGGTGGAAAATATTGTGCCTCTAGGGTAGAAGAAGTACCAGACAAACTAAGTGTTAATGTTTCTTCCATGACCGTCAATGTAAAACTGAGATTTTTTTTACTATTTTAAGTGCTTATATATGTTTTGAAAAAATCTTTAAGCTCAAATGACCGCAGTTGTGAGAGTTAAATTTTTGATATCATTTGTGATTATACTGAACTGTATCAATACCCCAACACAACATTAAATCAATAGGTGGCTGCAAATCTGCAAAACTGTCATAATAAACAACATTCTGGCCATATTTTTGATATGCCACCCAGTGAGTTCCAGGTCCATTCTTGTCTCCAAGATTTACTATAGCAGTTTCGCGATACCATAGCCCCTCACTGGGTAAGTCATTTCGTATAAATACTCCACGAAAAAAAAAAATTTGTAAGCTCTTAGAGAATTTTACTGAATCTACATTTATTAAAGCTCTTAAAGGTAATTTTACATTTTTTTTTTTTTTTTCAGACCTTAACCAAACGGTTTTAAATATACTCCCAATCCAGTTTTATGAGGCTTAAGATAGAGACCTTTTCTTAACGCAATAGGTTCCATAGTTTTATTATGTTTTTGATTTTCTTCTAGTTTTTTTTTTTGCAGACTCAGCCGCGTTAACGCTCTTCATAATTCCTACAATACCATTGACCAAAGCGCCAGTTGCATTCAAACCAGCAAATAAAGGAATCGGAGGTAAAGCTCCACCAATTCGAGCAGAAATTCGTGAAATACGAGAAACTTTAATACTTTTTTTACCACCACACATTTTAACTGCATTACGAGCACCTTTTGAAGCACTACTGATTACTTTACGAGCATTTTTGCTCTTAGTATCCATTTAATGCGAGGCAGCCTTAAAAACTGTGTTCATAGTAGTTTTTAGTTTCTTTTTTATACTGCATTTATTTTTTGAACCTCTTTTCTTTTTATTTTTCTGATCCCAACCCATACCTAATTTACTCTTAAGCTTCATTGCACCTGTTACCAGAACAGCAGCTGTTTTTTCACTAATACTCAAATTAGAAGCCTCAACTCTTTGCCAAGCTCGCTCAGCTGAAATTTTATCTGCTTTGTTTCTAGTCTTAAGATCGTATCGGTTTTTCCAATCAGCTATATTATGCTCTTTGCACGCTGCATCCAGAGGATTTACTCCAAGATCACCTCTAGTGAGGCGTTCCGTAAGTTTAGTACCTGGACCACAGTACTG